CCGCCTGAGCCTCCCTGGCCTGCTTGTTGTGGCCACATTCCGGTACAGTTGCGCTTCCAGAAAAATGGCATCCTTGTTATCTCCTCTCACTTCCCTTTCCCTTCTCTCCTTCTGTTTCCTTCTGACTGATAAACCACAAGAAAGGAACTTGTATGATAAGGCAGTGGAAGGGTAAGCAGAGGGTGACTCCTGGCGCGTGGACCGGTCCATACTTCGTCATACCCCTCCTCTCGGCCTATCTCTTCTGTTCCTTTCCTTACCCTTCTCCTTCTCATAGTTCTTCCTTTTTGTTCTCTTATTTCGAAAAGAAAGATGGCAGGGAGAGATAAGGAAGAGAGGATAGATAAAGAGTGAGTGCCATTTTCTCTGCGCCTTGTTTTGTCTCTCCCTCTTCTCTATTCATCTCTCTTCTATTCTTTTCTTTGCTCTTCCCATTAACAATGCAATCCTTTTGTCTCTCCTCTCTCCTTCTCTCTCCCTTCTCTTCTCCTGTTCCCCTTTAAATGACAAAAACGCAAGAAAGGAAGAACAAGAGGGGAATGGAGGCCATGTTCCTTTCTTTTCCAATGGATGGGGAAAGTGAGCGGGGTTGGCTCCTTGTCCGTAGACCCTCCCCACGCTGCAGCAAATCCCTCCTCTCGCCCTATCGCCTCTGTTCTTTTCCTTGTTCCCAAACGGAAAAAGAAAATGGGTTCCTTTACATGTTCATTGTTCTTCCTTTTGTTTTCTATTTAAAAGGGAAAGATAAGAAAGAGAGGAAAGAAGAAAACGAGCACCATCCTCTCTTTGCCTGATTTTGCACCTCCCTCTCCTGTCTTCATTTCTCTTCCATGACTTTCATTGCTCTTCCCATGAAAATTGTTTCCTTTTGATCTCTCCTCTCTCCTTTCTCTCTCCCTTCTCTTCTCTTGTTCTCTTTTGAATCTCAAAATCACACCAAAGGAAGCTTCTTTTCCTTATTGAATTAAAAAGAAAAAGAAGAAAAGAGATAGGTAAAGACACTGAAGAGCTCCACTGCCTATTGTTTCATTCCCTTTCCTCTCTTTCTATGTGTTGTTTTCCTTGTCGTTTCAGAAAGCTAGCAAAATAAGGGCAAGGGGGCTTCCTGAAGAGGAGAGAGGGCACCTATTTTTTAATTATAGAGGGAAAAGCGAGAGACAAGGAAGGGACAGATGATAGATAAAGAAGAGTGCTATCCGTCTCCTTGTTTATTGTGTCTTCTCTTCTTTTCAGTACCCCTCCAGAAAATTCAAATGGCCTCCTTGTTGTCTCTCCTCTCTCACTTCCCTTGCCCTTCTCTCCTTCTGTTACCTTTTAACTAATATAACACAAGAAAGGAACTTGTATGATAAAGCAGTGGAAGGGTAAGCAGAGAGTGACTCCTTGCGCGTGGACCTTGCCCATACTTCATCATATCCCTCTTTTCGGCCTGTCTCTTCTGCTCTTTTCCTTACCCTTCTCCTTTTCAAGTTCTTCCTTTTTCGTTTTTCTGTTTCGAAAAGAAAGAGGGAAGGGAGAGAGAAGGGAGAGAGGATAGATAAAGAAGAGTGCCATTTTCTTTGCGCCTTGTTTTGTCTCTCCATCTTCTTTGTTCATCTCTCTTTTCTATTCTTTTCTTGGCTCTTCCCATTAAAATTGTCTTCCTTTTATCTCTCCTCTCTCCTTCTCTTTCCCTTCTCTTCTCCCTTTCCCCTTTAAATGACAAAAACACAAGAAAGGAAGAACAAGAGGGGAATGGAGGCCCTTTTCCTGTATTCTCCTGTTGCAATGAATACAGAAAAGAGCATAGGAGATAAGGAAGGGAATTGAGGAGCTCCTTTCGCTACTTTCTTATGCCCTTTCCTTTGTATCTACCACACAAAAACACCACTCTCAGCTTCCAAGAATACTCTCGTGGAGACGCATTGGTTAGTCTAAAAACCCGAGTCTCAGCTTCCAAATAGACCCTATTTAAGCCACCCACGGGGGGGGGGGGGGGAGGGAATGTCGCGGGGTAGTAACCGGGTAGTAGGGAAACTCATGATTAATTCCCTAGCAGGTCCAAATCTCTGCACCCTAAACCCCCCTTAACCCTCAAACCCTTCGAACCCTAAAACCTTCTAAGCCCTAAATGCTGAAACCCGAAACCCCCAAATACCTCAAAGCCCGTAAACCCTGTAAACCCATAAACCCTCTCAAATCCATAAAGCACCCTAAAACCCCAAATCACCCTAAACCCTTAACCCTAAACCCTAAACCCTGAACCCTGAACCCTAAACCCTAAACCCTAACCCCTAACCCCTAACCCCTAAACCCTAAACCCTAAACCCTAAACCCGAAATCCAAGCCCAGGGCTTTCGTCTCAACGTCTCCCGACCTGGTTCAGGGCTGGTGCTGCTCTGGCGAAGTCCAGCCTTCGAATCTACATGGGGTAACGGTTTAGGGTTTAGGGTTTATGGGGTTTAAGGTTTTTAGGGTTCTTAGGGTTTATAGGGTTTAGGGCGTTTAGGGTGTCTAGGGTGTTTGGGGTTTATAGGGTTTAGGGCGTTTATAGGTTTCACAGGGTTCATAGGGTTCATAGGGTTTATAGGGTTTATAGGGTTTATAGGGTTTATAGGGTTTATAGGGTTTATAGGGTTTATAGGGTTTATAGGGTTTATAGGGTTTATAGGGTTTATAGGGTTCATAGGGTTCATAGGGTTTATAGGGTTTATAGGGTTTATAGGGTTTATAAGGTTTATAGGGTGTGGGGCTTGTTTATAGGGTTCAGGGTTTTTTGGGTTTTATAGGGTTTATTGGGCTTATTGGGTTTTCAGGGTTTAGGCTTCTGAGGAAAATCGGGAGAACTCCCTGAAAGGGTTCCGCATAAGGTACCTAAGCACCAAAGTTCCCTAAGCTGTAAACCCTAAACCCTAAACCCTAAACCCTAAACCCTACAGCTTCCTGCAGGAGAGGAGAAAGGTTAGCCCTCTGGGATGAGAATAGGAACCCACACCAACCGGGGCTTCGGGTTTAGGATTTAGGGTTTAGGGGTTTAGGGTTTAGGGTTTAGGATTTAGGGTTTAGGGTTGGTCTTGGGGTGTGCGTTAAGGTCACCTTGTATCCACTCAGTGTGTCCTGATACCTCTTAAATAAGCAGTGCACCTTGAACTTAACATGATGTCAGGTATGTTACTGAGATGTGGGAGGTACTGGGCGCTCCAGGTCCACTTGTAACCAGCCACCTAAACCCCAAACCCGAGAGACCCAACACCACAAAAGGCCCAAACCTCATAAGCCCTCAACCTCATAAAACCCCCATAAACCCCTAAACCCCAATGGCTTACACGCCCCACAAACCCCTTACACCCTAAACCGCATAAACCCCAAACCCCACACCTCAAACCCCACAACCCCAAAACGCAAAAACCCTAACCCCACCCCTAAACCCTGAACCCAATACCTCAAACCCCTTAAACCCTGTCAACCCCAATACAACGCATATAAAACCCATAAAGCACCCTAAAACCCCAAAAGACCCCAAAACCCTAAGTCCCTAAACCCTAACCCTAAACCCTAAACCCTAAACCCTAAACCCTAAACCCTAAACCCTAAACCCTAAACCCTAAACCTTAACCCTAAACCCCTAGAGCCTGATAGGGGTGACGGGAATATTGCGGGGGCGCGGCTCATCATCCCCGAAGTTGGTCCCGCGAGAGACCTGGGCGAAAGGCAGGCAGGTCCCCTAAACCCTAAACCCTAAACCCTAAAATCCTGAAATAGGGGTTAGGGTTTAGGGTTTTTAGGGTTTTTAGGGTTTTTAGGGTTTTTAGGGTTTTTAGGGTTTTTAGGGTATTTAGGGTTTTTAGGGTTTTAAGGGTTTTTAGGGTTTTTAGGGTTTTTAGGGTTTTTAGGGTTTTTAGGGTTTTTAGGGTATTTAGGGTTTTTAGGGTTTTTAGGGTTTTTAGGGTTTAGGGTTTAGGGTTTGGGGTTTGGGGTTTATAGGGCTTAGGGTTTAGGGCTTAGGGTTTATGGGGTCTAGGGATTCGGGCTTAGGGTTTATAGGGTCCAGGGCTTAGGGTTTCTAGGGTTTAGGGTCTAGGGTTTTCAGGGTTTACAGGGTTGAGGGTTCAGGGGTCTAATATCTAGGGGGGCGAGGGGAGTATGATCCTTCTGTCGCTGTTTCGCTCAAGCTCCAGCCGAAAACCCTAAACCCTAGAAACCCTAAACCCCAAAACTCTAAACCCTAAACCCCATAAACCCCACAACCCTAAACACTACACTATAATATTTAAAACCCCAAATGCGCGGTACGGTCGAGCGGCACTCTTTTCGCGGCTTCACGCTGCCCGGGACACCGGTCAGAGTCCACGGGCAGGGTTTACACTTACAGGCTAGGTCGTTCCCTCTGAGAGCAAAAGGGTACCATAATATGTTAGGGTTTAGGGTTTCGGCTTTAGGGTTTAGGGTTTAGGGCTTTAGGGCTTTAGGGCTTTAGGGTAGTTTTCAGATCTGTCTACAAAATCCCTTCATGCCACCCCTGCAGAAAGACTGCAACTAGAATCAAGGGAGTCCAACGTGGACCCTTCAGGATGTATTTCTAGGAGGTTCCCTGAATATGCTCTAAACTATGGCCCTTACGTTCCCTTAGAGCATCTTTAAAAAGGGTCTCAACACCCAAGGATACAACCTTAGGGGTTCAAGGGAGAGTCAAAGCATATAAGGAGGAACATCCTAACTTAATTCGAGTTGACCTGGGTGCAAAGGCCGTGTCGTGTTGACACAGAGGCCATCTCGATCTGCTTGAATTAACTCGTGCACTGCTGTGTCTTCACCCCTGAACCCTAAACCCCACACCCCCGAAAGCTTAAACCCTTATAAACCCTAAACCCCCCAACCCCCTAAACCCAAAACCCCTAAACCCAAAACCCCTAAACCCCCAAGCCCCTCAACCCCAAACCCCCTAAACCCTAAAACCCTAAACCCTAAAGCTCTAAACCCTAAACCCTAAACCCTAAACCCCAAACCCTAAACCCTAAACCCTAAACCTCCTTGCAGCTCCTGAGGGCCGATGGCGCCCATCGGGAGGAGGGACGGGCCGCTCCCCGCGCCCCTGTCGGCCGCAAGGTTTGCAGCTGGGCCTCGGTGGACTGTTTAGGGTTTAGGGTTTAGGGTTTAGGGTTTAGGGTTTAGGGTTCAGGGGAGTTGAGCAAGGTTTAGGGTTTAGGGTTTAGGGGCTTGAGGGGCTTTAGGGGCTTCAGGGGCTTTAGGGGCTTTAGGGGCTGTTAGGCGTTTTAGGTGTTTTAGGGGCTTTTCGGGCTTCAGAGTGGTTTAGGCGCCTTAGGGGCTTGTGGGGCTTTTAGGGGTTTAGGGCTTCAGCATGGTTTGGGGGTTTCTGGCTTTGGGGCTTCAGAGTGGTTTAGTGCTAGGTGTGATTAGAGTGGTTTAGGTTTGGGGGCTTTGAGGGCTTTAGGGTGTAGGGGCTTTGAGAGCTTTAGAGGCTTTAGGGGCTTTTGCAGCATCAGCCGGATTGTTTCCACTGTGTCGCCCGTCGCGTTGTGGCTTGCATCTCCTAAACCCTGAACCCTGAGCCCTAAACCCTAAACCCTGAGCCCTGGCCCTAAACCCTAAACCCTAAAACAAACCCTTAACCCTTCTCTCTGCTCTCGTGGACACCCGAGCCCTCAAGAGACCTGCCTCAAACGTGGGGTTTGCTCGATCGTAGAATCCCTGATCCTACCCCAAGCCCTGTTCCCCCACACCACCCTAAACCCTAAACCCTAAACCCCAAGCCCCACCCCCCAGCTCTCCAAGCCCTCGTCCCCCGAGAGCCATATAGGCTCAAGGCTCCGTAACATCTGATACGACCAGACTGGAGAAAGGGCTTAGGGTTTTTAGGGTTCAGGGCTCACAGTTACAAGAACCTGCCCGTTTTTGGGGAGCCCTGAACCCTAAACCCTAAACCCTAAACCCTAAACCCTGTGGGCCTTGAGCCGGTGCTGCGCGATCTCCTGCTGCAGCAGCCGCTGCCGCAATCTCTCGCGGCAGTGTTCGATTTGAAGTTGGAGGACGCGATTCTCTTTCACCGTCTCTTCCAGCATCCTGGCTGGCTGGCTAAACCCTAAACCCTAAACCCTAAACCCTACAGTAGGGAATGCGGGAATGAGGGCCCTATATAATCCCTGAAAGGGTATACTTTAGGGCCCTCATTCCCTCATTCCCTGTGCTTCTGCACGCTCTCAAGATGAGTGTAAGTAGAAAGCTCAGCAGCCAACTTCTCAGAATCGTATGACCGCACGCTCCACTTCTATAGAAGGGCTCTCTAGGACATGTTCTCTTTTCCAGGGAATACCCTACATGCCCTAAACCCTAAACGATCAGGCTCCGCATCTCTCCGCACCATACCCGGAACCCTGCGAACCAGGGACTGTTAGGGAACCTTCCGTATAAGATGGACGTAATACCCAAAACCTTGAGCCCCTGAAGCCTCCTAAAACCCCAAACCCCCAAATCCCTAAATCCTAAACTTCGAAACCCAAAACACCTGGACCCCTATATAACCCCTGAGCTAAGCCCTAGCCCTAAACTTGGCTCCCTTTTGGGCCACAGCCTCATGGCGCCACCCCCAGCAGCATGGCGAAGGTCGCCTTCACCGCCTCCCAAACCCTAAACTAGTTCATGGTTGAAATAGTATTAAAGATTTAAATGTCTGTTCCTTATTGAGTCTGAGTACCCTTAAAAATGTAAAATGCTACCCCACTATGACAAGAAAACCCTAAACCCTCAACCCAAAACCCTCGGGGGTTTTGGGGTTTGTGGTTTGGATGGGTCCACGGTTTGGGGTGTGGGAAGGGCTCTCGGTTCCTGGGTAGCTGTAAATGAAACTGGGGTTAGAGAAGCAGAGCTTCAGGAGGTACATGTTTTGTAAACAACCCTAAACCCTAAACCCTAAACCCTAAACCCTAAACACTTGGGTAGAGTGCTTCGAACCCTCCTTGTGACTCCCCATGAACCTCCAAGCCGATGGCGCTGCGCTTCTGCAACCAGCAGAGCGCTAGCTCGCGTTGGCTTGGAGTCAATTAGAATTTAGGGTTTAGGGTTTAGGGTTTCGGGTTTAGGGTTTGGGGTTTAGAGGGTTTAGAGGGTTTAGGGTTTAAGGTTTAGGGTTTAGGGGGTTTAGAGGGTTTAGGCTTTAGGGTTAGGAGCCCAGGAAGTCATGCTGAACCCGCGTGGGAGTACCATGTGGTGGGCCCAGCCTCTTGCACATCCTCTGCTCGGGTGATCAGCTGAGGCGTCTGGGCTCGACGGAGGAGGTGCGATGTGGACAGTCCGGCTCGCGCGTTCAAAGCGTTCGATGTGCCTCCTTGGTGAGGCACTCTGCGCTTGACTGCAGTCTGCGTGAACAGTCACTGAAAGTGTTGCACGAACAGAAAAAAACGGGTGACACAAACCCAGCAAGTGAAGCAGAGCTCTGAAACAGGTTACACAAACCCTCCAAGCATCGACATGTTCCTGATCGCCTGGTCAATGTCCTGCCCCAACTCCGTCTCCGGCTTGGCTTCAGGCGCCCTAGGCCCGCAGCTCGCAGCGCCCACCTCGTCCGCACCAGGGGCACCAGGGGTGGGACATGCAGAGAGAGCCGTCTCGTCGGCAGGCTCACCACAGGGAGGCGATGATTCGAGCTCGCCGCCTCGAGAGAACGTCACCTAGATGATTACTTTTTTTATCCTCATAAGTATGATTCTTGACGTTTTCATTAAATGACCTTTGCTGTCATGAACATTTTCATTCTTCATACTGAGGCCCCTATCGTCAAGGGTGCCAACAAAGGGCCCATGATGTAGCTCACACTCCACACGCAAACCCTGAACCTCTAATTTTTCGTACGTGCAGACTTGCAGTCTGGGCACAGCAACCTAGCCAGGGGAATGAAAAAGAATGAAGAAGTCAGGAATCAGAACCCTAACTTTAACCCGAAAATCCCTATGAGCCCTTACTTTAAACACCCTGAAAACCCTAACCCAAAAGCCCTAACTTTGAAACCCCTTAACGACCCCTATAAACCCTATAAACCCTGGCTTCTTCAGGACCCCAACCTTCACCTTCACTTCCCTCTCGGCTCTCGTCATCGAAGCCGCCAAGGTCGCTGTTCGCATCCTGGCTAAGGCGGCTTAGGGCTTAGGGCTTAGGGCGTGGGGCTTGGGGCTTAGGATGTTCCCGCTTATTATTAACAATCCTTTATAGAAATTATAGTACCCCCTACTCTGATCCCTACTACGGACTGTTAATATAAGGGAGAACATCCCCAGTTTAGGTTATTTCGGGCTTCAGGCTCAACATTTGGGCCCTAAACCCTAAACCCTAAACCCAGAACCCTAAACCCTAAAACCCTACCCCCAAACCCTCTATTTAAGGGCTTTCAATTCAACATTTGGGGCGAAAGAAGGGCCGAACAGCAGCCTGCAGTCCAGTCCTCGGCACCTGCAGCCAATTCGCCCTCCGGCTCTTCTAGGCCGGAGCCCTCCTCTTTGTGAGCACTTCGGTTCCTAAACCCTAGACCCTGAACCCTAAACCCTAAACCCTACCCTGGCACGCTGTGAAAACTTCTGAGCTCCGAGCCGGCTGCATCCGGAACTCACCACGAGTGCTGCCGGCCTCCTTGCCAGCGCTGCACACCTTGGCAGCCGCGGCAGCTGCGTCATACGGACCTAAACCCTTCATTACTAAACCCTGAACCCTAATAACTACTAAAGCCTGAACCCTAAACCCTGAACCCCAAACCCTAAACTCTGAACCCTAAACTCTGAACCCTGAACCCTAAATCTGAGGCCTCAACCGCCGGAGGAGACCCCGAGCTGGGGGACTGCAAGGCAGCCTTCAGATGTCGGGTTCGGGGGGTTTAGGGTTTAGGGTTTAGGGTTTAGGGTTTAGGGTTTAGGGTTTAGGGTTTAGGGTTTAGGGTTTAGTTTGGGAGTTTTGGGGGCTTCGGGTTTGGGGGACTGAGGGTTTGTGGGTTTAGGGTTTCGGGTTTGGGCTTCTTGTCTGAGGTTCTAGGGTTCTAGGGTTCTGGGGTTCTAGGGTTCTGGGGTTCAAAGGCTTACCGACGAAGCTTTGTGAGCAAATCGGCCCTCTTGAGTCCGGCCGGTGGGAACTGAGGCGTTCGAATCTGCTTTGACGACCGCATGAAAGCTGAAAGCAAAAAGTTAACAAAAGACATAATAATAACAATCATAATAATAGTAGTAATAATAATAATAATACAAAAACCACACACAACATACTCCTTTTTTGGGTGGGGTCCCCAAAGTCAGGAGCACAACTATATAGGGATCAACGATGAGACTTCACAAGATTCAAGGTATGATTCTGAAGCAAAGGGAGACGACACCTGAAACCATCCTGAAACCTATTCCCCAACTAACTATACCCCACGAGGCCTATGCATAACACAAACCCTTGTGTAAACCCTAAGCCCTTACGGCCCTTCAGGGGGCTGCCTACATGCGCCAGCTAGTTGAAGCGTTTTGATTTGGAGGGGTTACGTGAATCCCTGCATGGTGACACTGGGAAGGGATTTCAACATGAGTTGGCAAGGGGCTGTGAAAGGAATTCTTACAAGCCGTTCAAGTGTTTTTTGATTTAGGGGTTTAGATGGACTTTGACTGTGTTGTCATCGGTTTGTAAAGTGATTTGGAAAAGGGGGTTTAGGGGGATATCGGCTTTCTGGGGCCCTTTTGGGCCTTCTGGGGGCCGGTTTGGGTCTTCTGCAGCCAAGTTCTGCAATTTTTGGGCCTTCTGCGAAACAATTTCGCCTTTTGGGGCCAATTTTGGAGCTTCTGGCCAGTTTTTGACCTTCAGAGCAGCCAATCTGAACAGAGATATCTGGGAGGAGAAGCGCAGGGTGTGGGTCTTGTTCTCCAATTTTGGAACCAATTTGTGCCTTACAGGCATCTGGGAGGGGGGCATCTATATGTGGAGAGGGCAGGGTTGCGACTGGTTTTTTCCAAGAAGTGAAACTTTGAAAGCAATGGGGTTGCGCCGTGGAGACCCCAAATCAGAAGATCCTTTTCCAACTAATGCCCTGTGTGCCAGCTAGCTGGCGAACCCTAAACCCGAAACCCGAAACCCTAAACCCTAAACCCTAAACCCTAATCTCTGGGTTCACCAACCACCCGGCAGCGCTCGAGCCTCGAAACTCTTGTGCAGGACCCCTCGCGCAGCTCCCAAGGCGTCCTTCGGAGGTCCGGGTCAGGGTTCAGGGTTCAGAGTTTAGGATTAGGGTTCAGCGTTCAGGTTTAGGGTTCAGGGTTTTAGTTGGGGTCCATGGTTTAAGGTCCGAACCGTAGTTGGGGGTTGAAAAAGGGTTAGGGTTTAGGGGTTGGAGTTTGGGGTTCAGGGTGTTGAGATGTTGAGTAGGGCTCACGGTTTGCTAAGGTTCGTAGCCAGGGTTTCGGGTTTCTAGGGTTTCTTGACTCCTGGTTTTCTAGGGTGTCCAGACTTTTCCAGTGTTTCCAGGGGCTTACAGCGCTTCGAGGGCTCGTAGGGTTGAAGAGGATAGGGTTGGTAGGGGAGTATGGGGTTTATTGGGTTTAGGGCAGGGTTTAGGAGGCTCAGTAGGTTAGTAGGTTGAAAACCCCCGTCCGGCAACAAAAACTTTGGAGCGGAAAAAGCAAAGCCAAGACCCCAACCTGGGCTGCTACGGAGCTTGACTATAAGGATACGATTTCATTTACTATTCCACTGTATGATGATAAACGTGAGTGCTTCACGGTGCTTCTAGGGCTCAGGCTCCCAATGAGAATATAATAAGGGCATTGGAAATAATTGTTATGTCACCCAATTCTGATAACTTCCTGAATGTCGCGAACTGAACTCCTGCGTATCTCAAGTTGATATTTATATTGATATTTACATTTCTATATAAATAAATATATATATATATATTTATTTATGTTTATATGTATGTATTATTTATGTATGATATGTCTGCAGATATATTCCTGAATTGAGGAGGTATTGAGGCTTTTCTGGGTGGAGGCATAGACGGCGCTCGAGTACTGAGCTGTACTCTGAAATAGGCTCGCATATGAGGAAAGAAGGGAAAGCCCTGAACCTGCTGAGTCACGTGGGTTTAGGGTTTAGGGTTTACAGGGTTTCTGGTGTAGGGTTTGGGGTTTAGGGTTTATAGGGTTTAGGGTCCCTTTTTCCGCCTATTGTTCCCATAGTCCTGGGACGCACTGTCGGCGGCACGACGCGCTTCGAGGAGTTTGGCCTGGCGTTGGGGAGGGGGGGAAGGGGGGGTTGGAGCTTCGATGGACTAAGTTTGAAGTTGAGGGCTCAGGGTCCCTAAGCTACCCCCTAAACCCTAAACCGCCCAAGCCCTGAACCCTAGAAGCCCCAGAAGCCTAGAAGCCCTAGAAGCCCTAGAAGCCCTAGAAGCCCTAGAAGCCCTAGAAGCCCCAGAAGCCCCAGAAGCCCTAGAAGCCCTAGAAGCCCTAGAAGCCCTAGAAGCCCTAGAAGCCCTAGAAGCCCTAGAAGCCCTAGAAGCCCTAGAAGCCCTAGAAGCCCTAACCCTAAACCCTAAACCCTAAACCCTAAACCTCGACTGAGGCCTCCAGCTTGCTGAGCTCCTTGTGCAGCGACGCGGCGCGGAGCTGCAAGCCGTCGACGTCGTCTACGTCGGAGCCCTGGTAAGGTGCCTCCAGAGAGCTTGAGGGTTTAGGGTTTAGGGTTTAGGGTTTGGGGTTTAGGGTTTAGGGTTTGGGGTTTAGGGTTTGGGGTTCAGGGTTTAGGGTTTGGGGGTTATAGGGTTTGGGGGTTGTGGGGTTTGGAGGTTTAGGGCGTAGGGGGGGGGGGGGTCCATGCCAACCCGCATTGCAAAAACCGCGCAACTTGGAAAGCAAACGCTTCTTGAAGCTGGTTCAGGGATTGGGGTTCACAGTGTGCAAAAAGGGTCTGGGGTCGAGGGAAACGTCTTCAAACCCTAAACCCTAAACTGGCGTACTTCCGGGTTGATCTAGACTGGAGGCCCTTTGAGGGTCTCTCCTGCAGCGACTTCCATGAATGGACAACACTCTGTCTTATTGCAGTTGTTTGGGGGGTCCCTACAGCATCCTCAATCTAGGGCATTCCGAAAGGGACCATCATGTTTAGAGAACTGACCATAAAGAAGCAAAAGAAACGAAAACCCTACAGCTTAAGCCCTACACTTAGGGTCCTGGGTTCAGGCTTTAGGTTTGGAGTCAAGGGTTTGGGGTTACCCTAATCACTAACCTGTTGGCCTGCTCCTGCCAGTAAGTCCGGTGATGCTCGCGGCACTCGAGGCTCGATTGCTCGTGCTCTTGTGCCAAGGACGCATTCCGCTCCTAGATAGTCCAGAGCCAGGCAAGGAATAGACCTTCCTGAAATTTGTCTTAAATCATATTAAGCCGTATGCCTTCAATCATACTGAAGAAGGAATAGACCCTAAATCATAGTAAGGAATATACCTTTAATCATTGTGAAGAATATGCCATAATCATGGTCAACAAATGTCAACAAACATCAGATTATGCCAGCGTAGATCAAACTGTGAGACCATGTAAGCCCAGACGTGAAACATGACGACACTTGTTGGCATTTCGCAAGCCCAGACGTCCGAAAGCAATGACGATTTCGCAGTTCGCGAGCCCCGACGTCCAAAAGCGACGACACTTTCGCAGTTCGTGGGCACAGACGCCTAAAAAACATGACCGCTTCGAGGACAGGGAGCGCGGGCACGCCCGCGCCTAGGCGAGAGCGCGATTGTCTTCCAAAATGCGCACAGCCCTAATCCCTAAACCCTTGTAAACCCTACAACCTGAACCCTAAACCCTAAACGCCTTCGCGAAGAAACATGCAGCCGGCAGGGAGCGCACCGCCCAGCCGCACGGCGCACTCGATCCAATATAGGTGACGGAAGATTACTCAGATTATTCCCTAGGTCCCTTGATAGTTATACTAATGTATACTACAATAACCCCCCAAAACCCCATTCTGACTATTCAGGCCCCTATATTAGCCCCCTCTTACTCTGCTTAACACATTGTTTGGGGAATTGAAGCTCCCGGTATAGCAGTCCTCAAGTTCTTATCTGTCTGTGTAGGGGTCTGTTCGTCTCCGTGTCTGTCTCAGTCTCGGTCTCCATCTGTGTCTCTGTCTCTGTCTCTGTGTCTCTGTGTCTCTGTGCCTCTGTGTCTCTGTCTCTCTGTCTCTCTCTGTCTCTCTCTGTCTCTCTCTGTCTCTCTCTGTCTCTCTCTGTCTCTCTCTGTCTCTCTCTGTCTCTCTCTGTCTCTTTCTGTCTCTCTCTGTCTCTCTCTGTCTCTCTCTGTCTCTCTCTGTCTCTCTCTGTCTCTCTCTGTCTCTCTCTGTCTCTCTCTGTCTCTCTCTGTCTCTCTCTGTCTCTCTCTGTCTCTCTCTCTGTCTCTCTCTCTGTCTCTCTCTGTGTCTCTCTCTCTGTCTCTCTCTGTGTCTCTCTCTGTCTCTCTCTGTCTCTCTCTGTCTCTCTCTGTCTCTCTCTGTCTCTCTCTGTCTCTCTCTGTCTCTCTCTGTCTCTCTCTGTCTCTCTCTGCCTCTCTCTGTCTCTCTCTGTCTCTCTCTGTCTCTCTGTCTCTCTCCCCGCTTAGAGATGCTATGATGATATGTGCTATTCACACAGAATGTCAAGGTGGAACTTTGAAGTCCGAAACCCAAAATCTAATTTAAGACACGAACCGCTTAGCCTTCTAATCCCTAAGCCCCAAAAGCCTAAACCCGAAACCCGAAACCCTGAACCCTAAACACTAATGCCTAGATTTCCTTACTTGCCTCGGAACCCTAAACCCCAAACCCTAAACCCTAAAACCCTAAACTCAGGGTCCTGGACACAGGAGAGGTCTGCCACTTGGTGGTCGCCCAGCTGGATCAGCGACTGGAATGCCGTCTCCTGAACCTGAACCTCTCCAGGGTTTAGGGTTTGAGGGTTTTAGGGTTTAGGGTTTGGGGTTTGGGGTTTGGGGTTTGGGGTTTGGGGTTTGGGGTTTGGGGTTTGGGGTTTTTAGGGTTTAGGTTTTCTAGGGTTTCGGGTTTTCGGGTTGGGGGTTTCGGGTTTAGGGCTTAGATCAGGGCCCTAAACCCTCAACCCTCTACGCCGCCAGGGAAGCCTCCTCGCCCCGAATGTTTCTTGCCATCAGTTCACCCTCATACCCCATCCTCAACCCCCCCACCTCCAGCTTCAGGCAATCATTGAGCCGCCGCCTTTCCGCCAAGGCCAGGCTCAGCCTTGAAACTTCGGCCTTCCAGGCATCGGCCGTCCTCTGCACCTTGCTGTTGCACACCGCCGCCGGTGCGGGCGGCTGCGCTGCTTCTGGCGCCGCGTGCCCGCGAGCCTCCGGGGCTTGGACCTCGGCGCCTTCCGCGGCGCTTTGGGCCCTCCGCTCGAGCTTCGTCCGCAAGGCCGCAGACGCCGCCTGCGCCGCCAAGAGGCGGGCCTGGTAGTCCCGGCAATCGACCTTCTCCAGGGCGTCCTTCACCTTCTGCCCAATAATGACCGAATGATTATCATGCTTAAGGGCTTAGGGTCTAGGGATCAGGGTGCAGCGTTCAGGGTTTAGGGACCCAAAAAAAACAAAAGGGTACCAGTGGGCTACCAAGTCACCCGCTGCAGGGCACCGCGCCGCTGCATGCAAAGCCTGGGATTGCTCTTAAGGGACAGGAAACACTCCCATATTAGGGAACCCCACACCCTCCTCTATTCTGGTAACCCTAATTTTTGAGCTCCAACTAGGCTCCGATACCCTAAGCCCTCCTAAACCCTCCTCAACCCTCCTGAGCTTCCTAAAACCCACCTAAGCCCTGACCCTAAGTTTCTCCACAAGCTCCTAGAACCTAAACCCTCCACCCTCCTAAACCCCTAACCCCTAACCCTAAACCCTAATCCCTAAACCCTAAACCCTAAACCCTGAACCCTAAACCCTAAACCCTAAACCCTAAAACCCTAAACCCTAAACCCTAACAGCAGCCCAGACTCGTCTGGAAAGCCCTGACCTGAAGCAGCGGCTTCACGTGCTCGGCGCATCCCTGCTCGGGCTTCGGGGCGGCGCCGGCCGGCCGCGGCGCACTCTTCCAACATAGCCAGCTCTTCAGCGGCATCGGCTGTTTAGGGTTTAGGGTTTAGGGTTTACGTAGGGTTTAGGGTTTAGGGTTTAGGGTTTGGGGAGTTTTAGGGTTTCGGGCTGAGGTGGGTAGATATGCAATGTCACATCCACAGCTACCACGTTTCTTCGGGACAAGCGTTCGGACACTGCGGCCACTGTGGTTGTCGTCACACGCCTGCAGATCGGTCTCAGGAGTGCCCCTAAGTCTTGGATGCATTCGTCGCATGGCACTCGCCTTCAGAGCCACAAGAAGCTGAGTACAGCATTGCATGCAGCTCGCATGCTCACAGGAGACCTCGTGTAGAGTGTACTCGGCATACTTAAGCCGAGGCTTCATCACAAAGCACACACGCAACGCTGCTTCATTGTTGGGGCGATATTAAAAATTATCATTTTAGTCCTTCTTGGGAACTTAATGACAAAAATGTGCAGTTATAACCAACAAGGACCCAGAATACTCGGACCTGAAGATTGTAGCGGTTGCCTTCGTGCTCAGGACTGGACCAGCTCGCGAGGAAAGTTGAAGACCGGAACCACGTTCGACACGCCATGCTGGCCGTCAGACCTGCACAGAGCGCAGGGCGCCGGCAACGCATTAGGGGTTTAGGGTTTAGGGTTTAGGGTTTAGGGTTTAGGGTTTAGGGTTTAGGGTTTAGGGTTTAGGGTTTAGGGTTTAGGGTTTAGGGTTTAGGGTTTAGGGTTTAGGGTTTAGGGTTTAGGGCTTGGGGTCGGCCTAAGCCCTAAACCCTAAACCCCGACCTTATAACGGGTGCTTGTCACTTGTGTAGTCCTAGTAGAACTGCTCACTCCGACTGCCTCTGCCCATGCTTCGGGCGAAGTGAAGGCATCTCAGGAGCGCTCCTGTGCTGGCGTTTGGTGAGGGTTTAGGGTTTAGGGTTTAGGGTTTAGGGTTTTAAGGTTTTAGGGTTTAGGGTTTAGGGCTTAGGGTTTAGGGTTTAGGGTTTAGGGTTTTTGGGTTTTGGGTTTTGGGTTTGGGGTTTGGGGTTTGGGGTTTGGGGTTTGGGGTTTGGGGTTTGGGGTTTGGGGTTTGGGGTTTGGGGTTTGGGGTTTGGGTTTGGCGTTTGGGGTTTAGGGTTTAGGGTTTAGGGCTTGAGTTGTGGGGCTCGGGCCCTTGAAACCTTGGAAGGCTAAGAGCAAGCAATGAGAAAGCAGGCTCCTTTAGAACACGGGGCGAGATTTCCTCCCACCCCTACCCGAGTCTTTCCCTGCTTCCTCGCAGGAGTAGTAGTAGTACCTCACATCCCCCTATATATATATATATGCATATATAGACACCCCTTTGAAGGATTATATAGGTCTACCCCCAGAATACAGCACCCTAGACCCTAGACCCTATACCCTAAACCCTAAACCCTACTAAGAACCAGGTCTTCCCTGGCCTGTGTAGAGGGCTGTCGCTGAGGACCGTCTCGTCCTCGAATGGCGGGGCAGGCAGTCGCCGAGCCTTCTCCACATCCTTGGCCCCCCACGCCTAACATCATACGAGATGGGTGTAGGGTTTAGGCTTTAGGCTTTAGGGTTTAGGGTTTAGGGTTTAGTAGCAGCCCAGAACCCCTCAGAACATCCCGGCATGTGCAGCAGCGGCGCCAGCGCAGTGCTCATTTGGGCCGAATCCTTCTTTGGAGCAGCTGCTGCAGTGCCAAGGCAAATCACTCCTCGGAATGGCAGGAACAGGGTGAACAAATGGGGCTTTCTAGGGTTGAGGAAGGGTTTGTTAGGGGTTTGAGTAGAGGGGGTTATAGGGGTTATTGGGCTTAGGGGTTTCGGGAAGGTGCCTTAAACTTGATGCATCCAGGGCTCCTCAGCTTAAACTATAGGCATTCCACGTTCACCCCAGACACCTTATACCACCATACCTATACCTGCTAAACTGTATTTATTTAAATGGTGATGAACACGTGTCATCAAGGGGTGTCGCTTTTCAGGTGGTCCCGTCGCTTTACGAAGGTCTTGTTCCCACGCATGCTACTGGTACCAGAAGAGCTTCGGGTGTCGGTCGGCTTGTTCGATCTGCTGCGAGAATGAAGGCGAACCCTTCCCACAATAGCGACGGAGTCTTCGAATTCCTAAGACCCCGGTGCTGGGTTTACAGCCAGGAGCCCAAGGTTGGGCGGGCTAGGATGGGCAAGTCTTCTGAAGCCATTTGGGCTCCACAAGTGCCGTCGCTTAGGTGTCGGTCTGGGTGCCGCTCCGCAATCCAATGGAAAACACAACTTTTGCCGCGGTGTGGCTCTTTTCAGGTGGTCCCCTTGCTTTACAGGGTTTTGGTACTTGGTGTCGCGCGCTAAGCATGGTAACTCACAAGAGCCGTCAGTTTTTATGCGTATAAATCCTGTAACCAAAACTTTAGGGATAGGGTTTAAGTTTGAGGGATACACAGCGACAGCTCCCTTTGTTATCATCCAGGCGCGCTGGTCTGTATCTCACCCATAACAAAGGTAGCCAGCAACCTCTTCGGGAAGATTCTGGCCATTAAAGAACCCTAAACTCAAAACCCTAAAACCCTAACACCCTAAAACCCGAAACCCTAAACCCTAAACCCGAATGCCATGAATGCAGCCCTATCTGGGCTCAGCTGCGCCTCCACCCCTGGTCAGCTACGGTAGCCGGGCCCATCACGACCCCAGATGCCCCAAGCCCCAGGAACCCTGAGCCCTAGAACCCATGCTGGATTTAGGGTTTAGGGTTTAGGGTTTAGGGTTTAGGGCTTAATTAGGGTTTAGGGTTTAGGGTTTCGGGGTTAGGGTTTAGGGTGGTCTGATCCAAGGGTCCTTCACCATCTCTCTCGCTGGGCGGATCCAAACAGCCGCAGCTCCGTCTGCGCGCGTCGCTCACGAGCCTGGGGTCCTGCCGAGGACATGGCATCTGGGCCCTCCAAGTGTTCAGGGTTTAGGGTTTCAGGTTTAGGGTTTAGGGTTTACACATAAAAGGGTGCGCATACAGATCAACGCCCCAACCCCCAGCTGCATAGAGCCCAACATCTTGAAGAGGAAGGCAAGTAGTGCTTCCGTGTCTTCCGGGCTCTTCAGCCCTTTAGCGCCAAGCTCGCACACTCTCCGCAACACAGCGAGACGTTTCATGCGACTCTGGGTAGCTGTCCTGCGTTTCTGCCCCGGTCCGTCCATCGTCCACCACCTTAGAGTATCGAGCCATGCCATTGCTGGAGCCTACACAACTGCACCTTCAAGAAGGCTGAGTATGCCAGTAGATAAAGAAACGAGTCTTCGGTTCAGTCTTCCGAACCTGAGCCAGAAACCCGAAAACCTAAACCCCAAACCCTAAACCCCAAACCCTAAAAGCGGCATGAAGTTATCTGAATGCGGAAGAGCTACCAGCTCGACGGTGTCAGTCTCTAGCTGACTTTCAACTGTCTTCTGGCGGGCACCTGTCTTGGCTCCGATATGCACCCTAAGCCCTAACCCTAAACCTGGGTGTAGGGTTTAGGGTGTAGTATGCTGCGCAAACAATTTCCTTTAGGGTAACCCTAAACCCTGGGTTAAGGGTTGACAATTTCATGGGAATACATTCTCCAAGCAGAGAAGTCTGGTTTCATACTCTCCAGAGTGGAGAAAAAGAAGGGTTCGCGGAAGGCGGGCAGCGCGAAGCATTTTGCGCGAGTTCGCTTTCTTGAACGATGCCTTCCTTCCCGACCCTGACCCCTGAACTCCAAACTCCCCCAAAACCAGTGAGGCTGAGTTCAGAGATCCCTTCCTAAACCCCAAACCCACAACCCAGAAACCCCAGACCCTAAACCCCAAAACCCTAAACCCCAAACCCCAAACCCTAAACCCTAAACCCCTAAACCCTAAACCCCAAACCCTAAACCCTCAAACAAAATCTGTGCCTGGGGCAGCCTTCGGTCCCCTCTCCGAAGTCCTCGGGCTTGCCTGGGATGATTCTGGCGACGGAGATTCTTCCCAACGGCTTGGGGGTTTGGGGTTTGGGGTTTGGGGTTCAGGGTTTAGGGTTTAGGGCTTTATACCCTTTAAGGGATTATGTAGGGTACCTCATCCCTCCCATTCCCTACTAACCAACAGGAAGGATTAGGGTTTAGGTTTGGGGTTCAGGCTTGGGGGCAGTCTGATCTGCTGGTATAGAACTACCCTAAACCCTAAACCCTAAACCCCAAACCCTAAACTCTAAACCCTAAACCAGAACACAAGCTAGGCCCCAGAGCTAGGCCCCGTCCCTCATCGTGCCTTTTGCACAGAGCCACGGCTTGTTTCGCGCGGAGTCGAGCGCTGGCTGCCCACCTGGCAGAAGTATCAGAAGCGCACTGCAGGTAGAATAAAAACTCTAAACCCTAAACCCTCAGCCCCAAGGCCCAAACCCTAAACCTTAAACCCTAAACCCCCAACCCTAAACCCGGTCTCAACTATGCTGCACCGCTCACATCCTCCTGGCCTTTTCTCCTGGTTTTCCGACTCAGATGGCGTGGTCTTTGCATGTTTCTTGGAGCCCCCTTCCAGGAAAGTCAACAAAGTGTGAGGGTTTAGGGTTTAGGTTTAGGGTATGTCCTCTACATAGAACCAACCTGACAAATGCTCAAGCAAGGCACGCGAAAACGAAGACATTCGCACCTTAAGAAGAACTTCTCTTCCTCTCAAGGTTGCCTAAGGTCTCAGGGTAGTTTCATGATCCCTGAGTATGGGCCCTGAAAAGCAGAGCCCTTATATACCCCTCATATACCCTATAGAACCCAAGGGCTCACACATCAGAACCCTTTCATGCAGGTAAGGGACCATTTTAAGGGGCCGAGTTCCGTAAGACCCAAGCAGGCTGTCAGTACAAGGGGTTGTAATGTAAGGAACCGGGTGCAGGGGTCCGAAGTATCTTGCCTCAGGGCGAACGACTTCTCGACTATGAACTACCGATGGCCGCCTGTATCACCTGCCTGAAGAAAAACCCTAAACCCTAAACCCCAAAAAAGGGATGAAGCCGCTTGGAGGCAAGC